TCATTATCGGGCAACTGATGATTGAATAGATAGGAGTCATAACTAGACATGACAACGATGAAGCTTAGTACGTATTCGAAGAAACCGAGTTCTTTGCAGCCAATTTATTCTAAATAAAAAAACGCCTGGAATCTATTCATAAATCAACATCATACAGCTGCAATAGCTCTCGTTCACTTTCTCAAAAACTAACCAATTCATCTGAATATTGTTTTGTCCGTTTTGAGCTTTCATATCCTGATGCTTCTTCAGAACCAGCGATCGCTCCAACTGCATTTGATTTATCTGTTGTCCTGGTAACTCTTACTTGATCTGTAAACGTCTCGAACAATCAGATTCACAATAGAATATGATCAAGAAAAACAAGTCGTCGAGTGGTGCTGATGCCAGGTGCTATTCACTCAAGAAGGAGCAACGAGAATGTAGACGAGGAGAGATAGAAATAGCGGAGCACGTCAATGACCGTTTCTATGTACAGATTCGAATCGGATGATAACACACGGAAAGGACACAACCCAACACCCGTTATCAAACAATCTCAAATGAATTCTCAACCAACTTAATTGCCCCGTTGTTATGCTAACCACACAGACCTCACACTTCCTATGGGGTCGGCATAGAACAATCTAACTACGTCTAATCAATCATTTCGACTTCACTCATGTATCTCATTCATTTCCACTGAAAAAATAGAAGCACCGCCTCCACTGAACTCATCAACTGAAAAGAACACAATGAAGATCTAACCTGCAGCAGGATAGTTGAGTCCGTGTACTTGTCCGACTCAGTACGCCTGTAGTGAAAAGTAAAAATTGAACATCGATCATGAGAACAACTGCAGGAACACCGATATGAAAAGTCACCAAAAGTCAATCAATACCCTTTAACTTTGGGAAATTAGAAGAAAAGATGGACGGGACTATTGGGCTAAACTACAAGAATGAACTACAACTCTTTCCTTTTGCTGGGAGCTCAGAAATATTTGTTGCAAACAGTTATCTCAGTGGTGTCATAAGAATGAGCTCTGAGTAAATTTCTGTTTAAGCTGTCCTGATACAGGATGTAAGGACTACCGTTAAGTTATGCTCTGTCGTTCAATAAACTCATCGAGAAGTCATCAGATGTTATTTATTGGAGTTATCTAGTTTTCACAGAATGATCGAACGTGGCAACTCAAAACATTTAAAATCTTCTAAAACAACAACTACTGTTAAAGGGACAGAATCAGTTCAGTTACAACCTTTGAGCAAATCTGAAATTGTTTTATTCAGACGTCACCGCAACTTACAATCACAACAATAAATTAGTTAAGGTTTAAGACCAGGCAGCTTTCAGTGCATTATTTCTGGCCAATCGCTTAGTTATAATGGAGGCAACCATGAGACCAATAAGTACAAGTGAAATGAGCAGATGATCAAAATCATCCTTTAATATATCGAATGTTCCTGAGGGTGTTAAACGAGTGAAGAAAAGATCAACACCATAGGCAAGCATCAATGAAGTAGACTCTAATCCGGAAGGTCTGAATAGAAGGTTCATATTTATATTTATAAGAAATAGACATACGCTGTTTTAATTCCTTTGACTCTGAAGACTGTCTGGTTGTAGTTTACCATGTCTTCAGTAGCTATTCTAATTTCAGGCATATAAGGGATCATCATTTCTTCCCTCATCTCCTACAAAAGAAGTATGCGTGATATACGAGATGAGAACTACAAACCTGTGTAAGTTCCATAGGCCTATTAGCATCGAGCAACTTTCTCGATACTTCATGGATTCCACCGAAAGGCAAGGCTAATAGAATAGATTTGGTAGTTAATCCTTGTTCTGGAAATGGAAATTGTTCAGTTTAAATATTTGAGCACATCTCTTACCAGTTTCGGTTACGCCCATGGCATCAACACCGTGTGTGTAAACATAACTTTGAGCGTTCACTTCTGGTGCGCGCTTTGTTGGAACAAAAGAGTCGAACTTTTCCTGAAATTGCTGATTGAAGTAACCGTTTGCATATGTCTCTTACTTGGTTGGTCAGCTCTTCTCCTTCGTAGAGCTCAATAACTCCGAGTTCAGTTCTACGGCTTTTCTCGGACCAATAAGAATAAGCGACCCAGTTTTCACAATGTACAATGTGTACGGGCAGAGCTGCCTTTGCTGTTTTTGCGTTGTGTACGATTTGGCCAGTTACAGAGTCGATCATGTAAAGAGAGAGGACTTGACTCACATCATCTAAAGCAGCCAAAGCGATCTGAATTTCTTATGTAATGAAAAGGACCATGAGACAACAAACCAAGTTGGGGTTGACGTACTTATATTGTACGTTTCTATCGATGAGTACGCGACCCTGAGAATGTACTTTCTCTGTAAAAACAGCAAAATAAAACTAGAAAAGAGACTAAGAGTTACCATGCAAAGGCTTGCTCTTCACAGAAATGATCTTTTCGGATTTCCCTAAGTTCAAATCAATGGTCCAAGTTTGGGCAATCTTCAGAGTTGTGAGAGAGAGTACAGAGCCTTCTAATCCCTTAGGAGTGACTTCTGTGAAATAAACTTTGTCAAGAGTGGAAGCAGAGTCCTTCTCGATTTCGGGATACAAAGTAATCTGGAATAGAACTGCCGTCCAGGAGAACAAGAGCACTATACGATACCTTATTTCCTTTCTCAACTACAGCTAAAGTCTGCAAGTGATTCTTGGCTACAACAGGAAGAAGGTTGACGTTTTTGATTTTAGATTGAAGCTGCTTTCTCTCAACAACAGTTCCCGTGATTGGATCGAAGAATACTAAGTTTCCGATTCCAGAATTCTGAAATAGAATGCTCAGAAAAATAAAACAAATTGAGTTTACCACATCCTGGAACACGACAACGGCTTGTCCGTTCAATTGATAGAGAGCAGTTGATCGTTGAATGAAGAGAGGTACCTATATCGAATGAATATTTATAGGTTGAAGAATTCTCGATAGATTACCCTTGACTCTCCTAATTCAGAATTGAGTGGAGAAAATCTATCTCCAAGCCACAATTTCCAAACAATCTTTCCACCTTCACTGTCGATTCCGAACACAGACCCATCTAGAGAAACGACAACAAGCATTTTACGGAGGTTGAAGAAGTCACGTTCCAAAGGATTTGAGTCATAGCTAATAGCAAGAAGACATTATTGATGATTTCGTGAAAATCATACCTGTCAGATCTTGGAGAATTACGAACTGCGTCAATTAATTGAGAAAATGATCCTATCTTGGATGTGATATGAGAGAAGGACAAGACCTGAATTGCAAATTACTTTGCTAAAGTTTACGAGTAAGCTCACCTGGTTAATTGAATGAATGAAGTGCTTTTGAATTTGAATTCCTTGAGAAATTATTCTTCTTACGAAAGAAGATAATATATTGCCTGATAAAAACAAGATTAAAGATAGTCGAGAAGTGGCTAACCTTCTTGAGCAGCGAACTCATCCTCAATCATCTTTTGAGACTCTGATAAAGGTAAATCAACCATCTCGATGGAAACAAGACGAGCTAATCCTTCTTCGCGGCTCCACTCGGACTGTGATTGAGAGAAATCAGCAGAAACAACGAAGAGTTCAACCCTAAAACTATGTTTATCAATCTATCGTGTTTGAGGAATTTACCTGCAGTCTTCGAAGACTACAACCAATTCAATCTCTTTCCTCACGGAACTAACGTACAGTTCTCTAACCTTGCTGTTAGCCAGTTTGAGCTAAAACGAACAATAAATGCACCGATAGAAATCTCATACGAACCGTGAATAAGCTCTTTCCTGGACCTTGATAGAACTCAATTTTTTCTTTCGAAGCGACCAAGAAATACTTGTCAACAGATGCGACAGCTTCAACGGTTTTGTCAACCTTCAGAACCTCAGTTTGGGATGCAAATGAATGAATGACTGTTGACGTCTCGGCAATAACAGCGAAATGCTCTTCACTGATAACTTTGACATTTCTATAGAAAAGGATAAATCAATCAAATACAGAAATTAGGTCATACCTTATCCTTTCAACGTTGAAAGTCTGAGCAACTCTGTTGGCTGAAGAGAAGTTTACAACTTTGACTGTATTATCTTTCCAGCAAACAACACTTTGCTTGGAGGAAAAGCATCTGAAATTTCAATATCAGTTCATAGTATGCTTCAATTCGAGAGACAAGAACACAACCGCCCAACCGGCACATAAATGAAAAATGAAGTGAAGCCGGAAGCGATAGTCAAAAATTGAAAAATCAATAAACATACTTGGCGTTACTTAGTTGTACGTTGATAGTGCTGGCTGAAGTGGGTTTACCATTGATTATATCGGCGCTTTTCAAGCTATCTCCATTATAGCTAACAAAAATTAGTTTGTCTCCTGATACTACTACAGTGCTCCATTGACTATCAAGATACAGAGTTAGTTAGGATCAGGCTAAAACAGAGTTACCTAGATTCACTTTGGAATTTCCACTCTTCAGTTCCTGATGAGCTGAATGAGGAAACAACATTGTCGACACTAACGATAACTGAAGAACCATGTCTGATCATGTATGATGGCCTAACAAACAATAATGATTAATGACACGTCGTGATTATGATGAGGACTCACTGCTTTGGAATAAGATCACTTAAAACTTTTTGCCAAACCAGGGCACCAGTGCCTTTGTTCCAAACTCTTAATACACGTCCAGCATCAGCAATAGAGAACAGATCTACACAGAAAGAAGTAATATGAATATATTATAGTTAACCCTTACTTGATTCATCAGCCAGAATAGGCAAATCATAATCTCCAAGCTCTTCTTGAATACGACGCCACTCTAGAAAGGAGTCAAGATGAATGAAAAGGTTGTAGTTGCACTTACTCAAAGATCCATCAACTAAGGAAATGGAAGTAAGAACTTTTTCCTTAGTAGAAAAAAGTAAGTTGTTTTCCCGAGAAGACTGTCTATCAAACAGAATATTCGTCGGGCATCCAACGAACTGCTTCCTCCTTAACAGATCAATTCCGGAAAGACATTATAAAGCGAGCTTACCAATCAAACTTTCCTACTTGGTCCTCAAAAAGAGCTGAGCATATAGGTAGCAAAGCTGCTACTAACAATATCCTCCAGCCCATCAGACTATTAAGGAAGTTTAACATATGTTAGAAACCGAAACGGCGCTGTTCAGTTATAATGCAAAACCTATAGGCTCCGCCCATTAAACTGTGCGCTTCAGGGTTACTTTGCGTACAGCTTTAGTATTGAGCATTTATTAATTTCAATGGCATGAGAGGTATTCAGGAAGTTACGTGATATGCTGAGATCAAGGAGAAATGAAATCGAGCTATATCTTCTATTTCTTGTCCTCTGTTCAATTTTTCATAAACTGGTTTGTCATCCCTCCAAACTTGATATTGCGAACAGCCAAAAATCCTTCTGTTGTGTTCGAGCATGGTTCGTTATCATGTTCCACCGAAATTATTTTATGGTTTGTATGAACCAAGCAACACCCAGTAAGGTATGTTTGAGAAAGAGCTATATCTTCTCCACCTATTGCCCGTTCCTCTCGTAATCAGAAGCTGATCTGAGGACAATGGATGATGGAAACACTGAACGATCTCCTGTTTCTTCTACAAATACTCTACAACCACCAATAGTCTTTTCTTAATTCTTTATTGTATTTTGGCTTACTTATTACGAATTCATCAATATTTAAAAATAATCCTTTTCCCTTTAACTTTATTTGTTTTTTAACGAAGGCGAACAAGTATATTCGCAACCCGTGTGCTGCATTCTTCAATGTGAGAGTTAATCCCGTCGAGTGCGATCTCTTTCCACTGAAGCCATGAAGTTACGATCATGATAGGATGAGCTTCTTTGTTTCCTTCAAATTGAAATGAGATAAAGTCGTTTTTCAATTCTTACCTAAATTGTTCAAATGGATCAAGTCTGCTTCCTAACCCTCTGTACAGTCCAGACTTATCTCTTATTTCTCCCGCATTTACAGGTTCCACCATTCCCTTAAAGTAACGATAGACGAAGGCCTTTCATTCAAGCAATACCGTTTCCTTAGCTCCTAATCCTGATCCACTCCAACCCATCTTTTGCATAAGTAGAGCTCCCTTATTATCACCTCCCAGAGGTCCTGATTGTGGCATAGCAAATGCAGTACTAAAAATATGAACATGGGTTAGAATACAACATGAAGAAACATACAAAGCTTGAGGACTAGGAGATCTTCTTGTAAAACCAACTCTAGTCGGTGGCGATACTGACCGTGAACGCACAGGTGATCTACTCCCTCTGGACCTATTACTGGAGCTGCTGGATCTACTACGAGATCTTGCGGATCTATTATCATAGTCTGAAACCTTATTCTTATAAACGTGAAACAAAGAAAACCTATCATGATACACTAAAAACATGACATGAAACACCTTATTATACAATTCACTACATGCTGACTGGAACTCTAGTCCGTCCAACAATACAAAAAGAAAATATCTCTTACCTCGATAGCTGGAAGCTGACGATGATCTTGAACGTGATCGAGACCTGGACCGACTTCTTGATCTACTTCTACTATCTCTATTGGTCCTTCAAAAATTGGATGCATTCTGAACCATTTAGTTTGCCTACTTTTGCGTTTCAATGTATCTGCTTAGAGCTACTTCCCGTTCTTCTCTCTCCAATCTCATATCACTTTCTGTCTGCTTATTTTTCATAACAGACTCCAGAGTTCGTCCTTCTCCAGACAACTTTTCTTGGAAAATTTTCTTGAGACGAAGCTTGCGTTCGAAGAAATCTGCTAGAGCATTCTTCTCCCAGCCTTGTCTGGATAACACATCATCAACACTAGAGTTTCATATAACCCTTACGAATCCCGAAGTTTCTCAGAAATAGGTGGATTGTAAAACGCATCCATAGATTCCAAGAGTCGTTGTGATGGGGGTACAGGAGGAGGCATTCTCAAAGAAGATACACCAATAGGTTCATACTGAAGAGAGAGAATCAATAGGAAACATGTGTTCAGAAAAAAAACGTACAGTCATACTCTCCATAGGTATTAACGGAACTATAATCCCAGCAGGTAATGAATAATAATCAACTTTGGGTATTAAATCCTCCTCGTTGAAAGGATGGCCATCAATATCATCACCATCAGGGACAGAAACTGGACTTTTGAACGTTTCTGAATATCAAGAAGTTCAACTGAGATGGAGTAAAACCTATTCAACCTTTCATTGGCATTGGCATTCTGCCGGGTGGGTGAAACTGTCTACCAAAATTCATATTGTTCCCTGAATCGTCAAAACGTGACTGCTGATCGAATCTTGACCGTCTTATAGGTGGGGGTGGTTGTGATAGGTTTGGATTGAACGAATGATCTTGAATAGAATAATTTGCAAAGAAAGGAACTGAGTAGTATACCTGGTCCATGATGATAGCGATCGAGTTCCGATTCTAGTTGCTTGATTTGTTGAAGGCAATGCTGAGCAAAGTTGTTGTGTTGCTGCTCGTAACCAGCATACATAGCTTGAAGATGAGCATCGATATTGATACCAAGCTGAAAATTCTATTTTTTATTAAGGAAAATTGAAACCTACTTGACAATATTCTGCTGTTAGTGCCTGCTTAGAGCTTGTGTATATGAACGTTGGATTCCTGAGTTGCTGCAGAGAGAGACGAGTTGTTAATCATAAAACTGTCCGAACTCACTTTGAAGCAATGGTCATTGAAGTATTGATGGCCTTCCCAAACACCAGCAAGTTTTTCTAGCTTAGCGTTCATGTTTGGATCAGTGGCAAGCTCCATAGAGAAAGCATACATTTGAGGAACGTAACGGGAGAGAACCTGAGTGACAGGGTCAAGCTTTTTGCGTTGACTGAACACGACAATTCGGATATAAACTATAATATATTCACAAACCATTGATGAGCCCAATCATTTATGAGGTACAAGATGTTCAGTCGGAAGCTGTCGGTGGATTCTACATCTTTGACGCTGAAACAGTTGGTGTGTTTTGAAAGCAACGACTAAGTACCGATTTGAAAGGTACATAAGGATGACTTCACGTTGCTGATCATGATGACAATGATCAAAAATCCATTTCTTAGCGAACTGTAATGAATCGAAACTAGTAAATGATGAGTAAAACTGAATACGAACCCCTATGGCATCCTTCGAGCACTTGGGATTGTTGAGTTGATCGAGAATTTCCTTGAATGAATTCAATTCGAGCTGAGCTTTCGCGACATAGTTCGATATTTTTTCATTTTCAGCAGCAGTTATTCCCTTGTTAAATTCAATCTTAACCGAAAAAAAGATGAAGCAAGAAGAAACACAAACGTACTTCACGGAACGCAGCTTGTGAATCCAACTGAGCCTTCAGGTTGTGTTCACTTTCGATTATCTGTTGTCGAAGAGCATTAATTTTCATTCGTAAATCATCCATTTCTGAATTTCCATGTGGAGGGAAAGAAGACATCTGAGCAGATTCTAAGAAGCACCGAATAGAGCTCTGGCGAAACAGCAATCCTTACCTCTCTCTTTATAACAATGAACGCAGTACTTGTAGTAGTCACTGTATGGACCGCCGAATAAGAAATCAAACTTTGGATTGCCTTGTTGTTCCCTTTGAGTGTTCAATTCAGATTCAGGACCGTACTTTCCAACGTATTCAGCTATTTGTTCAATAAAACATTTCAATTCTTCATCTGTTGAGACAAATTAGCAAATCACATCTTCTATGATAACACACCTTTTGGAGGCTGAGGCCTATCGTCATAACGTTGCATGAAACTTCTAGAACACTTCCTATTGTAAACAGTCTAACTCTTTTTAAAACATAATGGAAGCCGAAAAAAGTATTAAACTGAATATCACTGAATAATTAACTGCTTCTACCATTCAAAGGCCAAGCACACTCTCTAAAGGAGCTTGCGCAAATATGGTGTTTGGCGCATACTTTACTCCCCCCCATCTACACCGAGATGGGTTTCAAGAATATCACAATATATGGAAGAGATTGGAATAAACGGAATGGAAAGACAAACTATGAATGAAAACTGAATTCAACTGCAGGATATGATGTTACAATCAGCATACTTCTCGGCAAACGCATTTTTTCTCATTTCAAACCGTATTCAGATGGTATCACATAATGGAAGAGATGACCCCAGTTGGCATGTTAGACTGAGGAAGGTCTATCAGTTCTCCAAGGCAATTGATTCTTTGTTTTTGTTTATGCAAATGAACAACATAAATGTATATAGAAGCTTAGTATAACGACACTGCAATACACTGAAAACTTCGTCAGATAATCTTTCTTCAAATACTCATCGAACACTTGGCTCACATCAAAAGACTTGAAACACATACATGCTGTGATACCCTGAACACAACAATTTCGATTCCTCTCCGAATGCAACCGCTCTTTCCATGTATTGATATGAAAATGAGTTTCCTGCTGCGTCGACCGATTTACGTGAAAACGTGGAAACGTGACTATGAAGCCTAAAAAAAGAAGTACAAGAATTGACGAGAATTAGAAAAACAGAGTAATACTTCATCTTGATTGACGTTCACCTTTTAAGGTTGCATGTGTATGCTGAGATTTTGTTACTTCTTCTTTTTTTTTATTAGAAAAAAAGGTTGTTTCTGTTCGATGTAATTCGATAATTATCATTTTGATCGAAGTAAAGAGAGAGAGAGGGAGATAGAGAGGGAGGGAGTCCTCTCCATACATGGGCTTTCGATGTTTGAAAGAGAGAGAAGAGTCTCATATTACTTACATTCCACTAATTCAGATGTAAGAGTTTAAAAATTCAAAGCATTATTATCTTGGTGATCATTGCTTCTCCCCTTCTACAGTATTGAACCCCTCGGATTCATGACTCGGAAATAAATATAAAAATTTATTTTCTCCTGCTCATTTTCTCCCTCTCTCTCTCCCCTCTCTCCCTCTATACCTCTGTCTGTGTTCTTCTTCTCTCTCTCCCTCTCTCTCTGTCAACCAAAATGGTTTTATCAATTGGTTTCTTTGTGGTTTTCAATCTTCCTCATTTCACTTTTGTCACGTGCTGATTTCTTCACATTAACTGGATAGTTTAGCATTTATAGCTCTTGAACATGATTAATCAATGGTCCAATGATCTTGGGTACAATATCGTTTCTCCCATCCCCCCTTCCTCTTCTTGCATTCATTCTCTTCATTCAACCTCTTGCATCCCTCTCTTCTTCTTCTTCTGCATCTTACAAAATATATTATAAGTTCAAATATTTATTCTTTTTTTTCCTTAATTCTCTCATGGATTTGAACTTTAGCATCAGATTTTACTTTCATTTACGTAACCAATCGTCTGCTTCATCTTGCCGATGTCTGATTAAGTTGGAAGAGGGTTGTGAATCAAGACGAAAGACACACAGATACATTCACTCACTCACTCACTCACTCATTCACTCACTCTTCCTCATCACATCCATTCATATGTTTGATTGTGTTTTTTGAACATTTAATCTTTTGTGATTAGAGTAACTTCGTTGTTAAAGGAATGCAAACGACGGCTTAACAAGTCATTTTCAGTCATTTCCTCAGAGCTCCACATTTGAAATTTAAGCTTTGGTGACATTGTCAAATTTCCGTTTGTCCTATGTATTACTACTTCAATGAAGATGCTTGATTGAGTGTCTGTGAATGAGAAGTGCATAACGACCATCACATACAATCAATTGATACATATGTATTAAACGAGTTTTTGTTTTGTTGACATAACTTGCAGTTGCTCTGATCTACACACATTTACTATTTGATCCCTTTCAACAGTTTATGGCTTCATCCTCCTTCGCAATGTTCACCAACGCCAACACAACCCCCTCCTCTACCACCACTACTACCACGACCACCACCACCAGCACTACCACCACCACCACCACCAACAACAGCAACATTAAACATTCCCGCATGGCTTTTCTCTAAAAATCTATTTCAACAGCAACAAAAAAAGTTTTTTTTTCGGACGAAATGTTCGATATGGATCACATCAATGTCTCCTTTTTTTTTCTTTTTGTTTGCAATCGACAATCAATTAATAGCCTAATTCTGAGAATGGTAGGTAGCATGAAGAGTGATTGAATGGTATTGGAGGGAGGGAGAGGAAAGGACAAGAGTACTGATGATGTTCTCTTTTTCTCCTTCTTCAGCCATTAGCATAACTCTCTCCAGTTGACAACCTAGTTGGCCTTACTTCTCATCTCTTTCTATTTATAATAGAATTCTTCTTATCAGGTGTTCATATACTGCAGCTTATCTGTGGTAAGATGGAAATACAAGCTACTTTAGTCTCATTTCCTTACAACCTTTTTAAGCTGTTTTTTTGGAATTAACTTTGATGAGCTTTTTTGTAAATTAAAAATAACAACTGAGATACATGTCGAACAAACCAAACGTTCATTCAGTTCGCATGTTTGTTCACTGCTTTATGACCTTCTATAGATTTTCCTCGACGTATGAGGAAACGTACCTTTTGCTTTGGTCCCATATCTCATTCCCACCAAAAACTGTGTGGTAGAGTATGCTTTTGTCTTTGCTTCCCTCTCTCACCCTCTCTATCTCTCTCTTTTCGAGATAACTGTCATGAAGTGACCATTTGTCGTTTAGAACAGTTTCGTCGATTTCAGAAGATCAAAAAGAAATTCTCGTCTTATCTCATAAGAAATACAAGTCTCTTATATTTGCCTTATAATTAGGAGAGGACGTGGTAATGTTATCGTGTGGCTAGGTGTCAATCCAAAGGCTTTTCAAATGTTGATTAATGAGACAATTTTTTCATTTAATTATCAAAGACAATAAAGTGTTAAAGACTCTATCAAATCTTATCATCTACCTCATAAAGTTCAAAAGTACTTCTGTAGAGACTATTTTCGCATATTCTCTTCATTGCAAGAACGGCATCCCTTCTCCCTAGCTACTCCCATGCACATTGCTGCACATTGCTATTACGTTCCAACTACAATCAAGAGAGAGAGAGAGAGGGGGAATGAGAGTGAGAGTGAGAGAGAGAGAAAGCAAAATAAGCATTCTAAGATTCATCTCCAAAAAAAGGAAATCACATAGTTAATCTGCATAGTTTAATTATGTTGACAAAAAGCTTCTGATGTCAATATAGAAGATCTCAATTTCATATTATGCGTATTCGTATCCGTTTTCCATATAATTATTCTTCCTTCTAAACTATAATTCTCAAATCACCATCTCTCTTTTTTTCTATTTTTCTTCTCCTCCTCACAAACTTATTTCATGAAAATGCTCCATCTGTTGATCAGATTTTTTTTTTCCTGATCATAATACTATTTTTATTCTGTTTTAGTCATATTTTCAATTAAGCTAGAACTTCCTAAGCTCACGAGATTCACTTCATTCACTCTCTCATTTACTTACTCACTCACTCACTTACTTACTCACTCATCATTCAAAATCCTTTTTTTGGATACAAAGATGACGATAGCCAAGCAAGCTATTAAAACTATTATGAAAAAATCTATGTTACATCAGCCTGTTGACATTCGAAATATAAAACTACATCTATAGGTTGGTGGTTTGTTGGGCCAAAAAAAAAATGCTTTCAAGTGTTTTGTGAAACGTCTACCAGCTTCAATATTTTTGAAGATATTGCCCTGAGGGTTCCATAATTTCGTCTCATAAGTACATAGAATTGAAAGAAATGGCAAGAATAGCTCTCTTCTGAAGCCTTTCGAAACCATTTGTTCGTTGTTCTTTTGATTGAGGAGGATTTTCCCATTGAGCATTGGATCATCTTTCTCAATACTATTCACCTTCCGTATTGACATTCATTCGCTCTTCTTGCATCTACTATCTGTATCTCATTCCTCATATATTATTTTCCAATGAAGAATCTTTTAATCTAAGTGCCACTTCACATTTCGCCTTCTCCCCCCCCCCCTCCTACCATTTCCTAAAAAAAAATTAAGGAAATTGATATGATGAAAATATAATTTTTCCTTTTTTTTTCTCTCAACAAAAAATCCTTCGCTCCCTTCACCTTCCCACGGCCTTAAATAGTCTGAGAAAGGTGGATGGGTGCTTCTTTCCGTTTTCTATGCTCTCTTATCAAAGAATTTCATTTTTCTGATAAAAAGTAAGTTCAGGTGGCCAGTCAGCATTTCCTTTTCATTTCAATTGGGCGATGAATCATACATTCACCAACATCACCCATATTGATGATGATTGGCTTTTGGATTGTGATCAAAGTCAATCATTGTTGGACCAAGCATGGGTTCGATATCCCACAATGGCTATCTACATCAGCGTCTTCATTATTTGCTTATTAGGTAAGTCAGCTTCTACTATAGCATGAGCCATTTGAGCATTCAGGCAACTTATTTACTATCATTGTCATACTTGCTCACCCCTTGATGCTAACTTCAACTAACTTTTTCCTATGCAATTTGGCTGTTGCTGACCTGTTGGTAGCGGTATTCTGCATTTTACAGAATATGATACACATTGTCGGCTTTGATCACGCGAACTGGCCATTAGGTAACTCCAGTATATATCCCATCAAACTTGTTCCGTGCAGGAGAGACAATGTGCAAGATGTACGTTCTGGTCCTCCATCTCGTACCATGCACAAGTGTGGGCATTCTCGTGTGTGTTTCTATCGAAAAGTATATAGGTAACTATTGAGTGCAACACTAGCAGAGCTTATGACAATCTTTCAGCCGTTCTGCATCCTCTAACAGCCTTGAAAATCCTAACACAACGACTCCGAATCATGGTGACCATTGGCATTTGGATCATAAGTTTACTGACAAATCTTGTCTATTTCTTTTCGACGAAAGAGTTCAAGTTCGGGGATAAGAGAGCTTGTTCTCGTACGGATGAGTATGTCAGCTGATTTTGATTGAATTTTTATCTTTCATTCATAGAATGCCATTATGGGTAACCATTTCATTTGTTATTTGGTACGTAATCCCATTATTGGTACTTGCATTCATTTATTCCAAAATTGGTTTTCTACTATGGACTACAGGGGGATCTTCATTGAGAACTAATCGCCAGAGTAGTGGTATGGGTTTCAAAAGTGAAATCAGAACTAACTTGATAACTTGAAGCTGATTCACAAGGCAGCGCCGGTGCGTCGTGGAACATGGGTAACGGTCGAGTGATTGTTTATAAGCAGGAAAGTCTTTTACAAGTACCAGATGAGAAGCCAGTCCGAAGAAGACAGCGCCAATTCATGGAAGGTCGGAGAAAGGTCTGAAACTAAGATGCTATTGGTATAATCCATTAACTCTTACAGGTTATCCGATTGCTGTTCTTCGTCGTTCTCTCATTTGCGGTCTTGACTCTTCCACACCATGCACGGCTTCTAGAAGCGGTAATGAGATTTTCAAATTAGAATTCGAAACAACCTTTTGCAGATGTGGTATCCGGCACCCACTTGTAATTCTGATTATGCAATTCTCCTGCAACCGCTCAGTTATATTTGCTTATTTGTATCCAGTGCTATTAATCCAATTCTTTATGCATTCTTATCCCGAAGATTTAGAGAAGCTGTCAGTGAAATTCTTTACTGCCGGTAACTTTTTCGATTCCAAATACCTCACCAAATCCTCTGAATTCAGAAGAGGTCTATTTACAAGAATCAGCAGGTCTCGAACTCGGACATTGGTTTCTGATGTACCGGACGAGTCTCGATCTCCTTCACCTAACCCACGAAACAATACGTTTCGCTTAAACCGTCTACGTTAATAGAATGACGGAACCTTTTGATCTAAAACAACTGTGTCATCAACAAAAATTCATACGGAGTACAAGCACGAACTCAGAGCATTGTTGGAGTAAAATTGTTTTATTTTGATTATAAAGTCTCTCACTAACAGAGTTGGACACGTTCTAGATATACTTGTATACGAGATCGACGTTCCATGCACTAGCTGTGATTGCCCAATTATAATTTTTCTCCCGATTCTCTAATATTGTTTTAGTAATTTCCTTTAATGTATTACTAATCATATTGGGTCCATGTAAATAATGCGAAGAAACTCCTGCCAAGAAATGGTGCGATTCTTCACCCTATATATACATATTAATGTTATAACTACTTGTGAATATATAAATCATACCTGAACTGTTATATCAACATCCCATGATCCACACTTCTCTCCACTACATGTTAAGAAGAGGAACATGTTTCTTCCTGGGTCAGTTATAGGCTCAGCTATAGAGCAATTTACAATGCTGCTTCCCTCTTGAGCTGTCAAATAAACTGACATTTGACCACTTCCTTTGAAGCATCAAATAAGGATTCAATACGCATTGTTGTGATCACCTTCGACGCGCAGTTTGAATTCTGTTAATAGACCCTTTCTCTGCTTGCTCAGAACAGTCAATGTAGTTGGGCGATCAAACTTCACTTGTTCCACGGCGTACTTGAATCTGATGTGCCTGAAATGTTGCAGAAAATAGAAAAAAAACGGTCTTTTGATCTTTGCATTGTGTTATACAACAAAGAGCTTGTAGTCTACAGAACAAACTACGGCGCAGCGGTCAATTAATGACTTACGGAAACTAAATGAATGCAACCGTTCTGTGTGTATGCACTGAGAGCAGAAAATTGAAAAAAACCTACTCCTCTTTAATTCTATTCCTGGTTGGGAAGTAAAAAGGAATTTCGCAGTAAGGATCATCTAGCTGACAAACTATCTTCTGGAAGTCTGTAAACAAGAACAAGTTGATAGAAAGATGGTTTAAGCTTTCAACCATTCTCATCGTTCACGAAAGGTATATCTTCTGCTCCACGATGATCATGCGAGATAGCATAAACGATTGAATCGTTTAACTTCAAGGAGTCATCCTGGTTCAAGAACAAGCGGTTGGTATGCTGAAAACAACTTGAATCAGCTATTTTCTATTCTCTTCTCTTACATAGAACTGTGTTCTCTTAGTCGTAGGATAGTTATCTGTGAACCTGAACGGTCCACCAATTGCAGTTTTCAACACATACAATAAAACTACTAAAACCATTAATATCCCAACGAGCATTGATAAATAGTGACGGAATTTGGTCTCATCCTTGTCACGTACAGAGTTTGATTTTGTCAAAAGAGGAAGCTAGAAACACTCAAGATAAAATGGGGTCTGAAAAACTTTCCAACCGTAGATAACACAATTACGAATGCAGATAGCGCTACGAATGAAGCTACAATAGGCTCTGGATTAGAGCTTGTTCTTCCCATTATAGGGACAAACACTGAAAGCAACAATGTGGTCGAGTAGATTGTCATCAACAATGATGGAAGGTAGAACAATAAGTGGACGATGACTGTCCAGGTCTTATCTGGAATGAAGAACTCTATAAATCTAAGACTGATCAGTAACATACTCAACCGATCGACATTAATCAACTTCTTCAGAAGCGGTAAGGCCATAAGTGTGAATAAGAAACCACTAGCTATGTCATAATACGTGAAAGCTACCAAAATGATTGAAACAACAAGGAGATGTACAGTCTCAATGACGTGAGCATGTGCCTGTCATAGTGAACACGGTGTATTTCTTGTTGACTCATTATTACCTGCTTCTGTTTTTCAGTCAAGGAATTTGTCAAAAAGGTTTGTGTAGTGCTTCCTATCCAAACTACTGGGAAACCATAGAGTACGAAAGCAACCCAGTGATGAGTATACCAAGATAAGACTCCAATCCACTTGTACGTGAGCTTAGTCATCCTGAAAAACAGGATAAACACAAACTTAAGCCAACTACAAACCCATAGAGCATTAAATACATTGCCAGACAAACTAAAAAGTAGTTTCTAAAAGCCAACTTGTAATTAGCGCCTACAACGGAAGATATATTATATACATCACACACTGTCTTACCTCGGAAGAATCCATTAATGAAGACAGCAACTGTAACAAGGTAGATGAGCATGTTGACGATGTGAGCCAATGAAAGAGGATATACTACCACGAAAAGTCCTACAAAAGTATATGCTCAATTTATGAAGAGAAGATAGAACCTAAGAAATCGAAGAAAACACTCTTCTTGTCGCCATACTCGGCTGGCTTCTCCAAATACGGTGAGTTAAGGAGGTGAACAAGAGTAGATAGGACATTTTCACCTGGAAGAAGAGCAGCAATTATAACGGAAAAAGACTTTTTCCTACCTCCTCTCTGTAAAGAACCACTTGTGATTCTCTTCTCTTCGTCAAACTCGGTGTGCCACCAATAACCATTTTGAACAAAAGCCAAATCGAGACCTGAATTATACTATATATACAATCAACTTCACAGAACAAAAACCTGGCACTCTTCCATAATCACGGAAAATACGGAAGTCGGTGTCTCCTGGATAAACACCGCTTTGAAAAACTTCCTGCCCTATTACACTGCAATGAGGGTGAACAGCAGCTTCCAAATAGGAATTGAGAAGCCATTGGTTTGATGGACCTGCAATATCTCGAGTTAGAACCATTCAATATATACAACATAAACCAGCTTGAAACAAGAGTTCACGACCGCCACTGCCACTTGCTTCGAGATTGATGAAAGCTCTGATTGAATGTCTCCAGGAATGTTTAGTGATGAAACCGTGTGCAGCCTGTCAGCACGAAGATTAAATCAAGAGTGAGAACGAAATAGTTACCAGCAGACTCGATTCTTCAGCACCATTAAACAAGAAAATAACATCGTGCTTGAGGATATGAGGATTTGAAGATAGAACACGGATCAACTCCAGCATTAGTGCGCAACTGATCAAGTCATCCGAACCTCCTTAACAGTCTAGCTTAACATCTGAACCAATCTGAATTTGCTTACCGCTTCCTGTAGGCCAACTGTCATAATGGCAGTTGAGAAGAACTGCTAATGAATCTTGGCTATCTTTTTTTCCTAATCTAGCTATTACATTCGACACATTCTTATAGCAAACTGTAAAGCCATCGGTGTCAAACTTGGGAATGTCAAAGCATCCTGTTGGATTTTGAGTTTCAATTTCGAACTTGACGTCAGACGTTCCAGTCTTTTTTATGATTCTTTAAAAGAAGAGAGGTTAGGTTCACTAAAGAATCAATGAACTAACTGGAGTTCTGATAAAATCCTATTTCTTGTTTGAGTTTCACAAGCGTACGAACCAGAAGGCTTAGGACCGTATTCCGAGAGTTCCTTGAGAATTTTTCTCGCTCTGATTTCAGAAAAAACGGAATTGTCTGAAAGAACAAACAGTACATTATGATCCAGTGCTCTTACCTTCAGATGGATCTTTGGGAGTGGGTAAACATGTGTGCAAATGGAAAGATAGAAAAAGGAATCCTAATAAGGTTACATAAATGATGGCCCAGTCAGATAGACTTAATAAGTTGTCAGATGGGGCAGGCTTCTGTGTTTCTGCTTCATTTTCAACAGGAGGTACATATTCTGACCGATTTGGCCTCCTTCTCACTGAAGACATTCACTTGTCTGGAAGAACAGAAGAATAGAAGTGACGATAACTAATCAATAATGGAATATTAATGTTATCATTAGTTAGTTATCAACCAAAGATGCATACTACAATCGCAGTGCAGAATCAGAGAAATAAGGAACTCAGAAACAACACCGACAGGTCAGACGGATTGCAATTCTCATTGAAATTCGATAAACAGGTAATTCAAGTATACTTGTTGAGATGAAGTAACGGTACATTTGAGTTGGGAACACTAGAACATCTATGTATTATAAACTAGAACCATGCGCCATATAATACTACAGTGTCGTGAAATTTCGAATTAATTCTTTTGGTTGTTGCTTGTTGTTGTTGTTTGTGAGGCAGAAGTAATTGAGGATCGTCCTTTCTGTTAGAATTATCTAAGCAAAAGTTAAAAGTTTATTAAAATAAAAAAAAACGGTGGGCACATTCATGTATATCAAGTATCCAGTGGAGTTATGAATTTGATTATTTACAAACCCGTGTAAGTATAAGTTCATTGTTAACTTGAAGTCATTGTTATATTACGACTTCTGGATTTCGCCGAGAGGGTTTCGAGCTCTGCAAAATAGTTTTAGAAGAAAGAACAAGAAAAAGCACTCACGGGTTGCTTTCATATGTCTTAACCTTCGTTTCTAATTCTTTCATATAACGAATTCCTCGACGTTTTTGCTGGAATGATAAAGATATTAATTGAAACAAAAGCATAAGCTACCTTGTTTAGTTCTTCAATCTGAGCTTTCAAATCGTTAACTTCCTCAGTCTTATTGTTCAGCTCAACATTCTGAAAAGAAGATCATTCCTCATAGGTAAATACAATGTTCGGAATACCAATTTATCTATTGAATCTTTCTTTGATGTTCTTTCGATATTCAGAGAGTCAGTCTGTAAAATGTCATTCGATTAACACGAGAATGCTTCAATCAAACCAAGAAGTCTATCTGGGATTTGTGTTGCTTCAAACTCTCTTCTGATGCGGTGTTCACAGCGTTTCCGCTAAAAAATGAAGTGAAAGGAGGATAATGAATCACAAGCAAACCTATCAATTTCGGCACATCTCTTTATGAGACGTGCATGCACCCGCTCCTTTTCGTTCAGCTTTTGTTGAAGATAATTACAATCATTTGTCAAACTAGTTTTAGACTCTTCCAATATTACAACCTTCTCTTTCAGCTCCGCAACCTAGCGATAGAGTAAGTAAGACGAATCGGTCAAGAACAACTACCGAGTTTTCATGGATATGGCGTTCTTCGTCTCTGACTTTTTCCAGCTTCTCTTCAAGACGTCTATAATCTTGTCTCAAAATGGTCAAATCGGCTTCCGCTTTGGCTTTTTCAAAAGCTAGTGAGTTCGTCTGGAATTTCGAAATAGGTACAGCTTAATGTCCAAAAATGAATTTTACTCTATCTTGTGCTCTGCGTACTGTCTCCAGTTGCTCTTTGAAATCCCCTTGCAGCTTTTGATACGAACTAGTCATTTTGTCCAAATCCTACAATACCATCTACTTGTTCGAAAATATAACGCAAAACTTACTTCTCGAGCAGCGTTCAGATCACCGACATCGCTCTTTAGTGCTGATACAGCTACCTCCAGTTCGTGCTTTGCTTCTGTGAGCGACTGAATCATCTTATCCTTTGCAGCAAGCATTTCGGTCCTTCTTCGGTTCTCAGAGTTAATTGTATGGAATGATCTTTCACTACCCTCAAGCTAAAAGTACAGGGGTACATGTGAAAACATAATGAGCGCATTTGAACCTTTCTCTTTAAGCTAGCAGTGGACACTTCCTGTTCATTCAGTAACTGTTTTAATTGCGAAATCTGACTGTTCATCTGGTCTACTTCTATCCTATCAATTAGTATTTGATGTTCAGGGATAACCATCTCAGCTGCTTTCTCATTCTGCAGTACGAACGATTAAGTAATTATTTCACAAAATGAAATACCGCTATCAACAATTGATTTATCTCCTCCAGACTTCCTATTTGCTTCTGGAGATGTTTGATGAGGTCATTCGAGCCCATCAACTGTTCTTGCAGTTCGTTCTCCTTTCTCTCCTTCGCTTGTTTTAGCTCATTCTGCAACAGCATTATGATATGACAATGCTAATGGCTATAGTTACCAATTGGATATCAAAGTCTTTTTTCATAGAGTCCATTGTTAGTTCCATCTTCTTGCATCTATCATCAGAACTCTCTTGCTCCTGGATCAAACAAAAATTTAAATGGTCAAAAACAGATTGTCCTACCTGGGCCATTTGTAATTTCATACTTATATGTTCCATTTCTCTTTTCAACTGAGAGATTTCGTTATTGAGTTGATTCTAAATGATACTATTAATGTAAAGTTTCAAATGTTCCTTTACGTTTTCTTCGGATAAGCACTTCTTCTCAAACAAATTGTTTCTCTCCTGGTTCTCCAGCGAGAATTTGGCTGCTTCTAAGGAGGACTCCAGGGCTTCTTTCGTATTCTGAATGATATATGCGTGATGAACAATTACTACCTTGTACAAACCTCTGCATCAACAAGTTTTTCCTTCAACTGAGAAACTTCTTGAGTCAAATTGTCACGATGATCTCTCAATAATTGTCTTTCGTTCTTAGTTTCCTGGTCTTCCTTCAGTTGTTGCTTCAAATAAGTACGTCTATTATCGAAGAAAAAAAAGGCTCACCTGTAGCTTTTCGTTCTCGGATACCAATGTTTGGAAAACTTTATCTTGTTCTAAGACGGCCATCTCTAGTTCACTCTGGGAAAAATATGTGAGAAACACTTGTTCTGTCTTACCTTTTCCAACTCTAATTGCGTGATACTTTCTTTGCCTATATCAACAACTGTTGTTAGTGTAGATAATGTAGTTCTTAACTCATCCATAAGAACTAAAGCCTCATTATACTTTTTCACTAAATCTGCCTGAAACTGAAGAACCTAATTGTTTCATAAAAAAGAAAAAGTAAAACCTCGTTAGATTTCACTTCTACTTTCGAATTTGAATTATTGAAAGCTTCCATAACATCAGAGCATCTGTTACTTCTCAAGATGAGGTTGTCGAAATCCTGGAATGTCCATTTAATTTTCAATGTTTTCATTCTGGTCATACATCAGTCTTATCCTCACTCTCCTCTGAAATTCGATCGAATGAATGGTTTTTGTTCTCCATTCTAGCCAAAAATTCGGAGAACTTATCCTGAACAGCTTGTATACACTAAGAAGAAAGAAACAAAGCATACACTTTCATCTTGCTCAGCTATATTATTGAAACCTGAACGGAATATTTTGGATGGTGGAGAGTCTGAACCAAGCTTCCCATTTCCTGGAGCCCAAGTCATTCTTCTGTTTTGAACACGTTTCGTCTTCAATCAAAATATCGCTGATGCGTGTAGATAAGTACGCTCACCTGTGGAACAGCATTTTCTTTTTCATTGATAATACTCTTCATGAGAGATTTCAAGCGTTCTCTTTCAGCTTCTAAGTGATCGCTTTCCTTAATAGCATTCGCTGGCTCAGATTTTTGCTGGAAAAGGATCGTTTTTGAGATTCAATCAGGTCGTAGTACCGTCTCCAGTTGCTGTTTGAGAGCTTCAATTTCTGCCAAGTACTTAGCAAGCACTCCTTCCTCAGTAGACACATTAACAGTAGGTCGTGACTTTACAAGCTTAACTTGCTTGGCAAACTTAAACGGATGACATGATTCGGAAGAATATACTAAACACTTACCTTCAGGGTAGAACAAGTTTCAGTTATGAATTGAGGATTAATGCAACATATGACAAGAGTTTTACTGTTACCCCCTAAACATGGTTTTAGTATGCGAGTCAGCTTGGAGTCACGATAGGGAATATGGCCTGAGCATCTTCTGAATCAAAGTCTTGTTAATAAGGTTCAATGAATTTTGTATCCAACCTTTTATCGGAAAGAATTGCAATAACTTTTGTAAGCGCCAGAAGAGATTTGTTGATATTGGCACCTTCCTATAAACCGGGTAGGGTCTTGCAAGCTATCTCAAGAGTAGAACCTACCTTCTGTCTGTTCACTAGGCCAGCAGTAGCATCACCGTTCTCGCTACCTGCCAAGTCAACCATGTTGATGATAGAAGTGGTGGATTTGAAACCGCCGTAAAAAACACAAATAAGAGTCACGAAAAGAGAAAAATACCAATTCCGTCATTAGATTCTAAGCAAATTCGTAATATGGCATGAGATCTGCTCGATCGTTCATTCAGGTTAGTCTCGCCAACTTGTCTCATTTCTAAAAGATAAAAGAGTATATGAGAAGAGTCAAGAAACATACCCGAAGCTGTGAATAAGAGATCTTCAACTTCCTCTTTTGACGTAACGACCTGCTCGGAAATGCCCTGCACGAAAGGAATGTCTTTTCGTTCCTGAAGATCACAGATAGAACAGCATGTCAATCAGAACAAACCATAATAAGTAAATCTTCTCCATTACCTAGAAGATCGCGAACCTTCTCATTGAAAATTTCTAGGTAAGATACACGAATGAGATACTTTCTCTTGTCCTAAAGATATGATGTTGGACCAATGTATTCAAAGAAGCCATACCAATGCAATACGAGAAAAGAGATCATTGAAGAGTAGATGAACCAACCCGAAAGAATTAGTTCCGGTAAGTGTATGTGTTTTTCCTTCGATATATGAATGTATGACAATTAAATACAATCCTTACCTGCACCACTTTGACCATAAGCACAAATGGCAACGTTGTATCCATTGAGTGCATCATCGACGAGGTGTTCGATGGATTTACCGTAAATATCTTCATTTGTAGCAGTTCTATCATAAATAGTATCTGAACACACGTTAAACAACAGTAAACAGAAAAGTAATCTCACCGAAAGAGAGTTCCTCATTTGAATTGGTCCGTTTTATTGTGTTACTTTGGATATTCCATTCGGTTTTCTCATTACTAAGCTTCTAGTTAAATTAAATGAAGCATACTATCAACTCACCAAGGCTTTATTCGCAAAGCCACCATCAAAGATTCCTCCATTGCCATTTTTGGCTGTTTGAGTTAACACAGTTAACTATGAACGAGTATTAATTTACTATTCACGACCGCTCCCAGCAAGATTGCAACTAAGGATAGAAGCGGTTCGGTGATTCAAACTAACGCGTCCTCGAAGGTTGGGCGGGAAGATGTGAACAGCGAGTGTAGGTCATGCAAGTTCTCATTGATGATAAAAATTATTTTTGCTTATACTATATTACGTAATATACTTCCGATTGGATAAAAATACAGAATATAATAAAGACTCTTTATTAACTTAAAAAAGACAAAAAAGCATTTCAATTGATTCCTAAGTACTTCTTGGAGATTTCGATAGACTCTTCCAAGCTGGTTTCGGTCATTTGTACAGCTTCCTCTCTCAAAGCAGAGTACAACAGTGTGGACCTGAACACATTCATCGATGATTGAGTTCAAATAAATGAACTCACAAATATCTTTCTCCGAAGCTGTTGATAGAGGTCACAATGAGTTTTCCCTTATTTTCTGGTCGTTTAGCCAACTGAAATAATCTCATCAAAAATGAACTGATCTCTGATTAACCTCAATAGCAGCACACACATTAGCTCCTGAGGATATGCCTCCTAGGATTCCTTCTTCTTTAGCCAATCTGCGAGCCATTTCAATGGCATCATCGGAACGAACACGGAGAGCCTCCTTGAACAAGCTGGTATCCAAATTTTCAGGAATAACTCCGATTCCCATTCCTGCATATCAGGTTGTAAGAAAAACATTGTAGTACTCTCTAAATACCTTGAATTTTGTGAGGATTGTGAGGGAGACCATTAATGACAGAAGATTCATAAGGTTCGACTGGGTAAACTCCAATATCAGGGTTTTTCTCCTTGAGGAAACGTCCTACTCCAGTGAGGGTTCCACCTGATCCAACACCGAAGCAAACAAGATCAACCTAGGCAAGAATGGTTAAGCATCATAAGAAAAAATTCATCATACTTTTCCTTCTGTTTGTTTCCAGATTTCTGGTCCTGTTGATTTGTAATGAGCTTCTGGATTAGATGGGTTGGCGAACTGGTTCAAAACGTAAGCATTTGGTATAGCAGCAGCAAGTTCATCAACACGTTCGAGAGCACCTTTCACCATCAATGGAGCACTGGTCAAAATAACCTCAGCACCATAAGCTTTCAATAAACATCTTCGTTCTACACTCATGGAAGCTGGCATAACCAGGATGCACTTGTATCTATAAGTAAAAACTAGGAATCGAGGTTGACTTGCTCTCATACCCCTTGAGAGATGCAACGAAAGCCAAAGCAATTCCCATATTTCCACTAGTAGGCTCGATCAACACAGTTTTTCCAGGTGTAATCTTGGAACGAACATATTAAATACAATGCATGAAAGAGCTGATCTTACCTTTCCTTCTCTTTCAGCGGTTTCGATCATGTTATAGGCGATTCTGTCTTTCACAGAAGCAGCGGGATTGGTGTATTCCAATTTGACAGCTAGAATGTTGCTATAGGATATTAACAAAAAGATTAAAATACCTATTTTGGCTTCTAAGCCTTTAGTGACATTGTTTAAAACGAGAAGTGGGGTGTTTCCAATGACTTCACTGCCATTCTGAGCCATGATATCAGCACGATGAGCACTCATTTTGATTCTTGAAAGAGTAATTAAGAAGAACGAAAATAAACTCTAAGGATGTCGCGAAAGAGAGAATAGAACAGTACATGTCTGAGAGAAGGTTTCGACCCTTTTATACAGAATCAAGAGAAGGCGAATACGTGACAAATTAGAATCTCAAGAAAAGGCGGTATACTCTATGGTAGATCATACCTTAACTCATTGATAAAGGCTGACAGGTATCTCCAACAGCATTAGATGAAAGCTCAAATGAAAGTTAACATTGTATTCTTATACTTAATTACATTATTAATATATAAATACCACTTGTAACATTATTTTTGCTTCTTCGAAACATTTTCCATCTCTCTCTTTGTTTTTGGTCGTTCACTGCGAACTACGTGATAACCTGATCGTTGGTTTGAGAAACAAAGAAACGCACGTAGCCTTCCATTCTTGCTAATGTCACGTATGTCATTCCAACATAGAACAGAACAAAAAAAATGTTAACGATTTTAATGGAAGTTGTAGGATATGAACAAGAAACAATCTGCATTCGCACATGTAAGTGTTCATATTCCTCATAACGCAAATAAACAGAAACTATGCGTTTTTGATTTTTATTGATCGCTACTAATGTACGACAACATGTTCGAAAAACAAAATGATTGTCGCTATCAATCACTTACACTCCACTATCTATGAACTGGACCGAAAGTTACGTGGAAAACACGTGAACTTTACTTTTCAAATTGAATTTTGAGAATGAGTTTACTGGTTGTGCTTGAGAACTAAAGAGTTATCTTTCACTCTTTAATCTCCTCACAGTGAAATGGAAATTTGAATAAGATGAAGGCAGAAAATTGAATCCACTCAATTAGCATATTCTTTTACACGTTTTCCACGTACCACGTTGTATATCAGCGTTCTTCGGCAACAGGAAACTTCAAGTAGATCTACCTTTGGAACGGTCGTTTCTTAACAAGAGAGCGTTATGGAAGATGAAGATACTATATCGGAGGAGCTTGAGGTTATAGCCACGCGGGAGAATCAAGATTACGTTAACAAGGTAAACTCATACGAATCAACACTAAGATTCACGCTGCAGTTAGCTCGCTGTCGGTAAGCTGACAAGGCTAGCCCGTCATCGTTCTTTGTGGAATAATGAGTTCAATGCCTATTTCGTAGTTCTAGTATTCTTAATAAGTTTCGATGTCCTTAACAACTTTTCTGTTAACCTGAAGATGTATGGAGGTTAGTTTCTACATCGGCTTCTGTCAAACTTGCTTCTCTACAGTTGTGTTCCTACCAGTCTACTCCTTAGCCATGGTGTTTGTAGCTTTTCCTTTACTATATCTAGAGTTAGCATTAGGCCAATACACCTCTAGCACATGTTATCATATATTCGATAGAATGGCACCAGGTTTCGCAGGTAAATAACATTATTACTTGATATCCAATGAGCCGTCTTCCCATGATAGGTATCGGCATAGCTTCTATGATTTTCAATTTCGTCAAGATTTTATCTGATAATGAAACATTACGTATTTTTCTGAGCCTATTCATGAACGCTATCAATCCCTTCTCACAGAACAAACCTTGGGAAGTATGCGTTAATGAGTATAACAACGACAGTATGTTCGTCAATCAGATCATTTTGTAATTTGCTTGGACAGAATGTTTTCAATCAAGAGAGATGTGTCCACTGTTTCCTCGCTACATCCTAGAATTTGATGAAGCTAGAGAAATGAAAAGACATTTTGGGTCTGTGAATTAATCTTAATACTTACAGCAAACTATTGCAGGCATATCGGAGACGTTTGTTACCAAACGGATGTTCACAAGCTTCATGAGTACTTAACACACAGAGAAGATATGTCGTTCACATCTTGGATCCAGGACAGTGCAATTGGCCAATTTTTGTATAGTTCTCTCCAAGCTGTAATAAAAAAAACTTTTCAGCTTCTGGAATACTGATTATGAAACACTTACCATCAACACATATCCATCTCCAACTTTCATACTTTACACCTTCACCTGTCTAGCATTACTCTACCTCATCTCTCATGCAAGCAACAGGGTGATAGTAACCGTATGTTTCTTCTTGAAGCTTACTTACATATCCATCCATTTCAGGCAGCTAAGACGGGAATTCTGCTACTTGTGTCTGTCATTACAACCCTAATCTCGTTCTTTTTGGCCCATCAAAGTTATCTCGCTGAAGTGTTTGAATACTTCCCTGAATTCCGCAAAATGTTCAGCTTGAAATTATGGGTCTCAGCCATTCTGCTGGTACAACTCCAATTTGAATTTACATTCATTCCTCATTTCAGAGCTTATCTGCCCTGAAAGTTGGTCAAGGGGGACTTTCGTATCTTGGAGCTCAAAATAAGTTCAATCACAACCTAATAAGGCAATCAGTACGGAACGGAAACAAAAACGTTCTCATATTACAGAGATAGTTTCGTATACTTAGTTATCGTCATATTCATTCCAATGTTCTACGCAGTCGTACATCTACTGCTCATAGAGAATTCCCACGTAGCATTCAGTAAGACTGCTGGGCACTATTTCAATTTGATCAAAAACAAAATTCAGGCAAAGTTGATCTCTATCCGGGTGAAACTCAGAAATCAGCTGTTGATCAAAGTAACCATCCAGTCATCCAAATTTTGCATTTAGTGAATGGTTTGAATATCATTGATTCTAAAAGTGGAGTAGCAATATTCTCATTCATGGCAATTGTTGTCTTGCTATGTAACACCGTGGGTTCGACAGGTTTGAGGCTAGACTTCAATTTTATTTTTTTTAGCTTATCCGCTTGGAAATCTTGGTGTCTTCTATGCTGGAGGCTTTTCCATTCTTTTCATATGATGGAAGGAAAAGTCGTAGTGCTCTTGTGTGCATCTTACTTTGCCTTGTCTTCATGTACTCCTTCATTTTCCACAGCCCCGTAAGATAGTCATGTCACATACCTCTCACCAATCCTTTGTTTAGAGTGGTATGAAGCTTTATGTTGCATTGGATCAGATTGTATATCCTGATATAACATTAGGAATAGTGATCTTCCATCTTGTTATAGTTTGCGTATGTTACGGCTCTCGACGTTTGTTCGTCAACATCAGTTGTATGATTCACAGTGCCAAGATTGTGAGACTGTTACCGATGGTCCAAATTGAATCAGTCATGGTTTTAGAGTTCTCAATCGACGATGATCTTCAACGGATTAGTAGCTATATTGTGGGTTATCGTCATACCTGCGGCATTATTCGTTAGTGACTATTCATCGTTTGTCCTCTCACAACAGCTCTACAGGTTACGGCAGCGTACAGAGTTACAGAGCAGTTAAGCGATAACAGTATTGGCGTACTGGATTTACCTTCAATGCTCAGATTTGGCATACTTTCCATAATACCATTGATGTTCATTGACAGAGTAAGTTGGATATCATCGAAGAATATATGATTATACTCACTAGGTTATGAAACGTATAGTTGACGGTACGGACATCTTTGCTCTGTTCAAGCCTGACCGAGAACTTTGGGGAGCTAGATCGAAGAAGGATAGGGATAGAGTTCAGAGAAAGGAAAAAGAGCTTCTTGTTTGATCTTTCGTTGAATGTTTATAACGTTCTAAAGTATGAAGTTAGTTTAATGTTATCAATTACAGTCACATCAAAATAATCTCTAATTGTACAAGTTACTCGAATAGGTCAGGCGTTTCTTCCACGATGTCTTCGTTCTCACTTTCCTCTGCAGTTTCTGCATTACTTTCAACTTCACTCACGTGGGGGTTAATTGGCATAGTTTCCATATCTTCCATACTATCATCATTAGCTGTTTCCGCAGTCTCACCATTCTAATTAATTGTTTCATACTTCATAAGTTATAAAAAAAGAACATACTACTGTGTCATCAAGCTCTTCTGTCTCCTCCAACGTTTCAGCGTTCTCACCAAAGATTTTAGAACGGCCAGGCTCTGGCCATCCGTCTAGCGCATCTTCAAGAAATTCAAACATCCAATCTGTTTTTATAACACGGTCTAAAAACGAAAAACTAGACATCTCAGTGCAAACTGTTACCTAGATCTTTCTTCTGAACTGTTTTCCTCTTGTCTCCACTTGCATGGGTATAACATGCTTTAGCAAGCTCTACTAAAAACAGTTCCTAGAATTAAACAGTTCGCTCAAGATGAAGTGTCGATTACAAACTGTGGATTTAGCTACAAGCCGGGCAGCATCGTTATTCATCATACTGACCTTTATATACTCAATTTACTACATCGAAACAGTTTGTATGCTGACCTCAGGATCCAACTTTGCAATTTTCTTTACTCTGGATAGTGGAAGATCAGTTTTCAGAATTTGATCAATTTTTCGTTCGATATCCACTGTCAAACTTGTGCTGTCCAATATTTCAGACATTTTCTTCTATAATTCAGTTATAAAGGAACCGCTTCTTTCTTTCTGCAATCAATATGTTGTTATAAGCCGAATAAGATTCATGTTTTTGAAATCAACAGCTTGCCGCCAACGTTCACTGATTAGGAATTATTTGACATTAGAGCGCGTTTACTACCGCGGATATGGAAAGACTAGCTGTGCACGTATGTTAATATGTATCCACCTGATATCGAATGTAGAAATAGATTGAAGAATAAAGTATTTGATTTTCAACAAATTGATCATTAGAAATTGCTCCAGTCTGAATAATTTTCAAAGAATAGTGCTGACTGTTATTGACAAGTTTTTATAATAATGTCACAATTGCACTGCCAGTCTGTTCAACCACTGCATGATGAGAAGTAGAAATAGAAATCATGGCTCCTTGAAATATTCCTTGAGATATTTGAACTCAACAACTTTTTTCATCATATTTTACTTTAGGTCAGAATAATAGGCTATGAAACTGATACTCGCCAGCCTTAGATACCATTGATCCTTTCAGTTGAGTGTTGGGGCCCAGTCAGTAGGATAATCAAAGTATGAAGAAATGTAATTCGTCTGAAGTACTCGTAAGTGTTTTGTACATGTTATTCCGGTTTCTCTCCAGTTTATTTCTTATTTACCAACGGAAACTCAAAAGGTGTTAGTTCCCGTTCAGAAATCAATGAAGCAGAAAAACTTCTAGCATGGCCTTCAGATAGGCTTGAGTTAGTCGTAGCCATGCGGTACGGAAAAGTATACTTTTACGATCGCATGGGTAACAGAAAACCAACAGAGTCTGATAGGATTCAAGGTTTGTATCTTTGCTCTAGGCTTATAGGCAATCATTCTCAGAAGCTTTGGAGAACTTCGATGCTCCCAAGTTCCGGCCTCCGTATAACGAGGAGAGGTATCACATACGGGGTAAGCCATCATGAAGCCTGAATTAAACATGAGTATTTTTCAATTTCTAGATACGATTCCTTTAGAATCTCCGGAGATATACCCAGGCCCAGATCCTATTTTACCACGTTTCTCTCCAGGATCGGATGTATTACCAAGTAGATGAGAGATTTGTGCATGCATGTATTCTACGAACTTTCAGCCAGTACAGTCAAGTACAATTTTGACGATTCGGATATCTTCAACGCAGATGACAGTGCTACAAACAGGTATTATCGAAAGTTATTGTTTCTCTTATCATTGCAGAACGCGAGTTGTAAATTTCACAGAGCCGAGGGAGTTCAACCCTATTGCTTCGTATCACCTGAAGGAAGATTTGCAAACTGCAATTGATGAAGGTGTTCAGTGAGATGAACTTTCAAAACTTAGTTTGTTCCAGGGATAGTGAGAGGTTTCTCAAATAAAGAACCTATTCATGAAGACTTCGGAAAGCTTGATTTGAATAGTTATGAACTAGGAGAGGTAAGGTAGTCCCTCAGACTGACAGTAAAAACAAATTCAGCAGAAACGCGTCTTCTCAAATGGCACATACTCTGTTCATGATCTTTGTTTCGAATGTCAATTAGAAGAAGAACATTCAAAGAAGTGGAAGGTGAGGGGAAGTTAGCATACTGTCATTTAAAGCTGTTTTATTAGAGAGAAGCCGAAGAACTAAGAGAGAAGCATAGGAAAGCTGCAGAGCGAGCTGCAATTTATGAAGAAAATATGAGACTGAAAGAAGAAGAAACTGAAAAAGTGACACCCCTACTAGTTCAATAATCAAATTTGTACATCTCAACAGGAAAGACAGTTGCATGCATTACGTTTAGCTCAGGAGATAGAGATCGCGAACAAAGAAATCATGGAGAACACTAGGAGGAGAAATATAAAGAGTCCTCCGGTGAGTAGAAGTTCATCGTATTCGATTCGTCATTTTCTTACTTAGAACGATTACTACATTTTCAAAGACAGAGTTGAAACAACTGATTATGAAGTGAAGGCAAGAAAGGAGCTAAGTGATAGAGTGTTATTGAAACAAATAGAAGAGAAAAAGCAGAGAGAATGGGACTCAGCCCAAAAAGAGTTGATGCTTGACAGTCTACGTAATGCTCAGGCAGCCGAAGAGTGAGAATTATCGAAGTTCTCGTTCTCATATTCTTTTAAAGATATGCCAAGATGCGCGAATATGATCAGATCAGAGTGCAGCAAGATAAAGAAAAATGGAGAAAACAGCTGGAACTACAAGTAAGGTTTTGTAGACAGTAGTAGACACGATTTGATATTTAATTTTACGACTTTTCATCAGCGCGCTTAATGAATACCAGTATTTCTAATTTAGAATACTTTTATCTTCACCGTATTTAGATGGAGTTGCGGAGAGCCGCTCCACCGATCGACAATAATTGGCTATGGTGGGCCGAGAGACCTGATGAACATGGTTGGCGTGATGCGCGTTTAACTCTGAAAAACGATCAAGTAGAAAGAAATATAATCTTGAAGTATAAAATATAATCAAAACTGACGAACAAGGTGTCTTTAGGAACTCCGGTAAACGTCTTGAACAATTCATGGAAAAGCAGAAAGAAACCGATTTGAGACTACGCGAGCTGAAGCAGGAACACTACGCTAAACTGCGGGAGAAGGTTTCAACAGCTCAAATAACCATCCTATCTCCATTCTCTGGAATTTTTTTCAGCTCCACGCCAATTCTGATCTGATTTTTGGTAACAATATTGACCACCCGCCGATTCGCAAGCCCATAATTGTCCAACCAAACATACAAGTTGAAAATGCTTGGCGGAATGCGCATGAACAAAATGAAAAGAAATATCGAATTCTTCAAGAAGCAACAGAGCGGACAGGAGAAGCATTAGGTACTTGAAATACTGAAATGTGTATTACATTATGAGTTCAGGAGAAAAATTGGAAGCTATCTCCTCTTGCGCTCGCTGTGCCAGATGTACAAGACCCCTTAACCGCTCGAAAACCTTCGTGGTATCCAAAGAAAAAATATACTAAGATCATTTAATACTCATTATCTGACTTTCATTACATAGACTTAATAGCTAAATAGATGGAGCAAAATTTCAATACGAAGCGAGCAGCGCATGAAAACTATCTTAATCTAGCAGACATCGACATCCGATCATCTAGAACAACTTTACGCTACGCTATAGTTCTTTTCTAGAAATGATAAAAATTTAATCCCAAGCTATTTTCTTATTACATAGCTTCCTATTACTTTCGCTCATAGGTGATATAGATGTTGTCTGTTGCTCTGGAACATCTTGACTTGGATTAGCTCGAAACATGTTAGTTAAACGATTTGAAGAGGACGAAGATAAGGACCCATTGCCCAAAACTGATTCGCGGCTAGCCGACCTCCCTACTGAAAGCAAGCTCTTCCTTCTCGAGATCCAACGACGTGGTTGATGAGTAGGAGAAGCAGATGACGACTGTGAAGAAGAAAGAGATGACATCTGACTCGAAACGGGTGAACTAACTCCAGGAATGGCTATACCTGCTCAAGAGTTCCTCGACTATGCACTTTTTCTTCCCAAATTTCCAGAGCATTATAGAAAGTAGGGCTGATGACCACAGCGGTCCTCGAATTATGCTCATACTGACAAATGGCTCTGAATTCAAATTGAAGTTCAGCGGGGAAAGCATGGTCTCTCAAACCTCTTCAATGTGACATTATAATAACTCATCATATACTGAATTACGAAAGTCTGAGAGAAAGATATATCATCAGAGTAGATCAAGACTCGATGATCCTTGTAACGTCTCGCCTCTTCCATTTTTTCATTAATTCTCCGAAATTGCAAAATGATCTCCTGAAAAATTTATTAAAAACCATTGCCGTTTTTCTTACCCCAGTAGATGACTGATCATCAAGAAGTACGATCAGTTCTTCTATTGTTGATGAGGCCTCCTCTGAGGGCTTATCGCGTTGCAAAGCCAACAACGAAGGATTAATATTGATTCCAGACAAGTTCTGTAACGAAAAACTGAGACTAAAACGGATTACATCCAAAATTACCACAATATACTTAATTTTTCGTTTCTCGAGATATTTGCTGTTTTCGAATATTTCCCCACCAGCTATATCCAGAAATGGTAAAACCTATATTAAAACATAAAAGTTTTCATACACTGCTACCCGACACACAGTTAAAGCTTTGTATTCTTCATTCAAATCATTTGATGGCACTGGCTTCAACACAGTTTTGGGAAATTGCCGAGACACCTAAATGCAGTTTTATATACATGAGCATTTCACAGCACATACGTGTGGATCTGTAGATCTCCCTTCATCCAGAGAAAGCGAAGACATCGCCCTATGACCTGCTGAAGAATGTCTGGGTCTCCTTGGTTCAACCACAATTAACTAAAAATTAAACTTGAGGCTACAGTTTGGGAAAAACTCAAATTAATTAGCATATCTTAACGCGAGCTCGTGCCACGCCACGTGGCATGAATCTTCACGTCGGCAGAGTGAACTGCTCATTTCATTATTTTCTCAAGCGTTGCGAACCAGCTGTGCTCTGTTGGAGAATTATTTTAAAAAATTCACTTACTTTAGGAGTGATAGAGCCACTAGATTGAGTTGAATTCACCCGAGAACTGGCAGACAGAGAACTGTTATTGGAAAAAAAAACTTATAATCAGGTAAAAATCTATAAATCTAACCGATTAGGAAGCACAATACCAGCTTCTGGGCCTTCAGGGCCTGTTTGCGATCGGTTGAGGACACGACGTCGGGAGGACTGATTCATGTAGAAATAGCTGAAAGAAATCAATTAACAAAAGCTCAAAGTCGGAAAGACGTGGGTTATGGAAACATGAGGGCGTTTCTGATTAGCTTTTTTTGGCTCTAATATAAAAAAAAGCAAATTGGTATTAGAAGCGCTGTGAGCACGAAAGCAAAGAATGATTTCTGATGAACATTCATCAGTAGCAAGGTTCAATGGATTAAGTAGAATTAATTCTTGATTGATGTGCTTTTCAATGATTACGCTTGTAAAAATGAACTAAGTATCATCTGAGAAAAGAATAATCAATTCAAATATCTAATAAGCTGCCCATTAAGCAAAGCAGGAGATACTAATGTGAGCTGATGGTTGCTAGGTTGGAATGAAAGAGACTACAGCGGATGATTCCGCTGACTCTCCCTTTTCCCTTCTGCATCTCTTGTTATCATAGTTACCTATTATTATAGATAGTCTTCTTCATTCACATTTGGCATTTCGTTTTTCGCTGCATAATTGAGCACATTGAAAGAGACCTACCATTATTTTGATGCAGAAGTTGTAAGAAATCATTGAAAATACGGAATCGGCTGGCAATTGTGATGAAGAGTGTCATTCTTCCTGAACAATATACACTCATTACAAATACTTCCAATATTTCGACAAAAATAACCCAATATGCATAATTCGAATTTTGGGATTTAGTATTCGTTGTTTCAATTATCATTTCGATCAAGATCGCTGCGTATTACTGTAGGAGAGAGAATGTGGCTTGAAGCGCGCTCCAATGATAATACGCTCGCGTACACTGAAATAGCAAATCAGCACCGCCCGAATTCCTACTTATTATATTATATATTTATGTATTTTTGTTTTGATTATTATAATATGTCTCAAATTTGTAGCACATGAGCGGCCGTAAAATAGCCGCAGCTACGGTTCAGAACCGTACGCAGACTCCCTTGTGGAACTGGGTGAGAAACAAGCTTCTAGCTGTTGATCGCCAGAAAGTCACACCACCCCCAGGCATTGCTGGAGAGGACGGAAAGGTACTGCTTGTTGTTGCGGATCTCCTTGATATTATGTTTTCTTTAGGCTGTTTATCAAAATCCTCTTAGATTCCCAAAAACTCAATCCGCTCGCCCATGTTCTCAAATCCTACCTGAATTGCCCGGTGGCGTACATCATCTCGAGAGTGCAAACTACTACTACACCAGGTTTTCTTCAATTAAGAAAGTATCATTAATTAGTGCTTTTTAGAGATGGACGTCGTGAAGTTGTTCCTCCTGAGCCACTTTATTCTGCCAAAAATACATCTGTCCGTTATTCCACTCAAACAGGACAAGACTTGAAGTATGTAATTTTACTCTGACCTCATATATTACTCCATTTGAAGGAAAGAAGAGGCTATCCAAGTTAATTTTGGACCAGAATCTAACTTTGGACTTCAAGCTCCAACCCCAGGTTTCGGTGCCACTTGGACTAGAAGTAGGGAACAGGAATTGCAAACCCAAAAAGAGGATGCTAGTTTCGCTCATCTTGAAAGATTCGATAAGTTTAGCGCTAGCAAGTAACTCTGAACAGTACACATGTTGAAAGATAATTCAGATATGTTCTTGTATAGGGTTCTTAATAGAAGTATAAACTTAATTTTATAACTTGTTCTCGTTACGTCTGATCGGTTGATAGCCGTTTCTATATCCATTCGCCTTCATTATCTCTTATTATCGTTTGAGCTTATGGAAACCTAGTTTCATATTCCTTGTTATAGCCCAAGATGCGTCCATCAGTTGTTAGCATGGGTAAACACTTCGGTAACCTAGGAAAGGTTTACGGAGAGTACAGATTCGCTCTCGCCCCAAATGAGCAGAAAGCATTCAAGGGTTTCCTCGACCAAGCTTTCGTCAAGGTAACTCGCATAGTCTATTCGACCGATTCACATGTTATCGCTTTCAGGTTTTCAAGAGCTACGTTTGGGACCAATGGTATTACTATCTTCCACAAGCTGTTGGAGCTTACCTCATCTACGACTGGGCTAAGAAGACCAATTACCAAGCCAACCGCAAGAACCCTGCTGATTTCGCCAACGATCAGTAAGATAGTTAAT